GGGGGGTTGTTTCGTGAATTCCATCTGGCTATCGGCCAACTCAAATGCTGCGTAAACAGGATGGAAAGCACAAAACTGACGGCCTACCAACGAAAACAATGCAGGCAAGCTAGCAGGTCGGTTTCATGTCTAAACATGTCCAACAGTGAATGCACAGGCGGTTTCTTCAAGTGAACCGTCAGTATCCGTTGTGCATTCACTTTTGGTCATTTATTGATTTTTTATTCACTGAGAAGTAGAAGACAACTCGATCGCTGGGACACTGTGTTCATTTGCAAATAAACACAGTGTCCCAGCGATCGAGTTGTCTTCTACTTCTCAATTACTTCCTGGGACTCGCATGTTTGCTGGCATTTTTTATTCACTGTTTATTTGCCAAAATTAAATGTACCGACGTGCATACTTTACCACTCTTTGAAAGGGCTAGAGACTCTGGCTGCCTGCGCATTTATTTCATCGACTGGTCCGCATGCATGCACGTGAAGGGAACGTCGACTAAGCGAGCAGACACACTTACCGAATCCACCTGAGAATGGTGCAAGGCATTTCACAAACGATAGATGATGAAAGACGGATAGTCTTGGAGTCCATTGGCTCGGCGCCCATCAAACGAAGGCCACAGACCACGAAGGAACAGTTATCCGAGGGTGTTGGGACGTCCTTCTTACCGGGCACCAATTCAACGCTGAGGGATAGCTCTTCCAGAGCCCAGGAGTGTGATTGGGCGACCGCTTGGCGCGTAGCCGTGATGTAGGCCTCAGGCATGAACAGACCACCTAGCCAGATCTGGAAGGAAGTTAAATGAGATAAAGGATAAGACATGTGGGTGGATTTAATGGGATTTTACAAGGTTGCAAAAAATACATAAAGGCCGGCCGTGTGTAGAACTCTTGTCATCTAAATCTTTCCCGAAACGAAGTTAGGAAAAAAACCTGACCAGTCTTGGAGGGGAAAAACTAGTTTCGTCCATTGCTAGTAGGGTTTGCAAACACAGGGGGAGGAGTCAAGCAAGACTGGTCGTGTTTGCGGCTTCTGTGAAACATTGATCCCTACAACCATATTCAGAGCTCGTTTGCTCTCTGACCAGTATGCGTTCGCATCCCCGGGCACATAAATACACCTTCGACCCCACCGCCACAAGCTAATATATGAGTCAATTATGATAATTCGGAAAGACCTCGTTTGCGAAGAATCCGTTCAGTATTTGTGTGCACGTGCTTGACAGGCATAGAAGCTGTAGGGTAGGAGTATGATCGATTGGTTAATGCCTAATATACCTGAGACAGGGACTGAACAGTGGGGCAAGACGGCACGGACTGCCCAAAGTACCACTTAAGTTGCCGGCTCTGCAGATTTGTGTGCATTTCCGAATATGGATCAAGGAGCCGGTCGGAAAACTCGGGTCAGTAAATGACTTTTGCTAGTAACAAATTAGGTAAGACAGAGGAATAAGACGCCGTGCGCTAACTTCCAGGAAGAGTAAACAGTTCAGTGACCCAACTCTAAGCTTAATTGCGATTCTAATCTTAGCCCTAACCCAAGTCCCCTGAAATATGGCGCAAAGCTGCCTATAGTTGGAAGTAAATTAATCTCCCTGGTAATTAACTAGGTAATACAGGGGAATAGGACGGCGCGCGCTAAATTCCAGGAAGAGTAAACAGTTTCGCGATCCAACCGTAAGCTTAAGAGCGGCGATCCTTATCTTAGCCCTTACCCAAATTCCACTGAAATTTAGCGCAAGGCTGCCTATAGTTGGGGAAGAGTTCATAGTACCTTGCCCTACCACCGCTTATAAACTGCACTAATGGGATACACGATTTTTTAATAAGAGGCCAAACAAAGTTCAATCCTAAGGTGTAAGACGATTCGTGTTCAATTCCGAAGTTACAGAACGGAAAGTGTCTGTGGGAAGTCACAGCTGGCGGCATTGTTGTGCGTAACAATGGAAGTACGATGTACTAGTGCTTGTAAGCTCAGATCCAGTAGTCAAAACTACCTTCTGCCTATGGTGACGGGGAGGAGTACGTCCCATTCCGGATGATGACAAAATTCGCACGCAAGCTAGACTAAATACCCAACGCGCCTCACGAGCTAGCATCTGATAAGAAGGACGATAGTAAGAACAATGAGGGCCCGAGAGAGCCATGATACAACATACCTTGAGACCGCGCAGAGCGGGTGTACCACCAGCGGCAACGGCCTGACTGACCTCCATCAGCTGGCCCACGCGGGCAACAAAGTCGGTGATCCATTGGATGACAGTGAGACCCGAGGGCACCGTGTACTGTCGCCAGGACTGGGGGATCAGACCCTTGGCCAGGTCGGACATGAGCTCGCGGTGGTAGTTGGTCGGCTTCATGCTACCCGCACAGACCTTTTGTT